GTGTGTGTGTGTGTGTGTGTGTGTGTGTGTGTGTGTGTGTGTTTTTACCAAAATAAACCACAAACATTAGACTCACCCTGAGTATCCTGTTGAAGTCCTCCTTATCCACACGCAGGAAGTGGCAGTTGTCCTCTCTCAGGACGATGGAGGCAGCACGAGGTGAATCTGTAACCAAGGCTAACTTCCCAAAGTCATCGCCCTCGTGAAGTGTGCAGACTACACCCTAAACACACACACATTCATGCAAACGCAGACAAGCACCCACCGAGATTAAAATTAGCTCAGACACAAAGCCAGTTTGAAAGTCATCAGAAGCCTCGGAGAAAACCAGACAGAGCTGAATCATTTGTGCCAGTCCGAGCGCATTTGTGTGAACAAATGTGTGCGAGGCATTTGTTTGTGCTCTGGTTGTGTGGTGTGATTTTAGTGCATGCATGCAGTCCCTTTAGCCAGTTAATCATTGTGATGATGAGTCATGTCGAGCTGAGCTGAGTTTGCCAAACTCCACTGCTGGTGTTTCCCATCCCCACAGGGAGCTTGATGCTAGTCTGCTCCGTGCAGACATGAGTTACAAATCTGAATCCATTACGTACAGATGGAATATCTTCAAATGAAGCAGAAAACTATAGAAATGCTCAGATGTCACAACCAAACAAAAACAGAACAGTGAGTGGGTGTATGCATTCAGGCACATCTGTTCACCTTTCCATAAATAACCACATTAACGGAGCCCTTCTGGATGATGTACCAAGATGTGCCCTCCTCTCCTTGGTTAAACACTGAGAAAAAAAAAAACAAGCAGAAAAAACAATCACCCACATAATTTACACTAACATTATTAACTTCAGAACTTGTCTGAAAATTATGATTTTAAGTTTTCTGCAGCATTTAAATGACCTGTGATTTAAACGTTTGTTGTCCAAAAATATCAATAACTGGAAATTATTATCCTGAAATTATTCTAACAATTGCCACCAATTTAACTAAGTACTTTTTTTTAATCTGTCAGGAATGAATAAAAACTCACACACAGTTCCAGCCTTCGCATGCGACTCAAAGATCACCACGCTCGCCAGTTCCCGCTTTACCTGCAAACCAAAACACAGCTTCAGACTTGGGCTGAACAATATTAGGGGAAAAAAACTTCATTGCAAAAATAATTTCCGTATGTGGCAATAACTTCACTATTTGCTATAATCCCACATTTCATAATGTTCCCAACATGCWTTTTTTGTCACTTCAGTAGAAAACGAAACCAAATATTGTTTATTTAGTTTATTTATTTCTTCATTATCAGTGACTTTTTTAAGTGAAGGGAAAATAGAGACAGAGAGAAAAACAGAGAGAGAAGTAATTAGAAAGATAGAAAGATTGAAATAG